CCCCTTCATATTAGCATTTCAAAATTCCAAATGGCTCAATAATCTTGTAGGACATGAAACTTATATAAATCACAAATTTAGCCTGAAAATTACTTCTTAGATAAGGTTTTATTACAAAGGTGACATCTTTGGTCAACTGGTTTACTTCCAAATCACTTCTTTTCAAAGCCCCCGAGGGAATATTTTAATACCGCTTGGTAGATTAAAGATTTATTTAATGAGATAATAAAGGAACACCATAAAAATTCATTTAATTAAACAGAGATTTTGTTTTAAAAACAAACTCACTGCAAGTTAAAGAGCTGTTTGTTCCCTGGGTTGTCATCCTGATCCTCTAGCATCTTTTCTAGGTGTGGCACTGAGCTGGATGTGGCCCTATAAAATGCCCAGGTCTGCTCTAATTGATGCCTGGATGGTGAAGTATCTCCACGTTGGGCCACCAGTGAAACATTTCTTTTTAGCTCTGCCCCAGGGGACAAATGCCCACATGCTCCCAATCCCAGTCCACCACTGAGTGCAAGTACGAGAGGGTTTTTCAGGATACAGATCCACCATAAGTATCTAAAGATTACAGGTTGGGATATGTTACCATTGAGAGGATTTCCTCATTGCTATAAAGGAAAAAAACAATATACTCACTTAGCTCAACAAAACTAGAAATAGAGCACAAAAAGTTAATAGAACGATTATAACTGGTGCTCTATATTATTGTTCTCCTTGGGATGGGCACTCAGGTGCCTTCTGGATACGAAGAGCAAGGACTGTCAACAATATCTCAATAATAAAACTCTGATAGGAAATTACAAGAAGAGAAAAGGATAAATCAGTTCATACAAAGCCTGTCTCATGCAACCGGCTGGGAAGTGAATGTTTGGTCTTCAGCTGACCGTCCATTATAATTTTGCGTGAAAAAAATTGTTCCTATAACATTCGTTCGATTTTCTAATAGTAGGACAGTGTCAAAAAAGACGAGGGAGCAGAATGGAATTTTTTTTTTTTTTTTTAGTGAACGAAATTCTAACAGTGAATGTGGTTTTCATTCGGGAAACTCCGTTCAATCCCAAATCAAATCTTAAAGTGAAGAACAATTTGTGAATTACATTCGGCAAGTCTCTGGTGGCATTATCGAGTGTTCTGATCAGATTTTTCTTATGAACGTTCAGATGAAAGTCTACCAGTGTGTAAGTTTTCTACTGATTTGTGATTTTGACAAAAACAACATAATTGAAAGTTCCATCGCCCTATTAAATTAAAGTGTATGGCAAGCTTTAAGGTGGCCATACACTTTACAACCATCGCAAGACCTTAGTCTTGCGATGGTTGTAAAGTAATTTAAAAAACGTACGATCTGCCCATCTTGGACAGGCAGATCGTACTTGCGATCATCGCAAGCCTGGCCCGCTGAGGGGCGGGCTTCCGATGACCGCAATGCTGAACGGGCAGTGTGCGCGTGTGCACACCGGCCCGTGCGGCATTGATCTTACGATCATGCTAAAAACCAGCCGAAAATCGTACGATTCTCAGCTGGTTTTCTAGCATGCTCCTTAGACAAAAAGACGTGTGACCGTACAGTAGAACGTCTTCATTCACACTGCGCGATTCTCGTACGATCGCGGGATTTCCCGCGATTCCCGTATTAGAATCGTTCAGTGTATGGGCACCTTTAGACTCCTATCAGATATTTTAGGTCCCTTCACATCTGTGCATCGTTTGTTCTTGGATTTAGATATACTTTAAAATGATATTAAAGTCAAAATGTTTTTAAGCTATTTTAAATGCTGATGAAATCACTTACAATAGATATTGCTTCTTGATGTTTACAAGTTTTAGTTTCCTGCAGAATCAGCTGCTCTCCTGAGCACTGGCCATGGTATCTTGTTTTATGGTGACTCCTTTCCCTTGCAGGGTCCAATGAAGCACCCCTTGTATGTGCTAGTAAGCTGAGTGTGTCTTCACAAACACACAGGTACAGCAAGGCAAGACACTTCCCAGCTCCCTGCTCTCCCCTCCACCCTTCTCCAGGCTAGTGAATGGACAGTTGCTGGAGACTGCTCTGTCCATTATGATCTTGTACTGGGCAGAATGTTTGGGAAGCCAAGCTGAGAGAGTTGGAGCTGCTTGGAAACATAATGGGGGGAATTTATCAAAACTGGAGCAGACAAAATGTGGTGCAGATTTGCACTGCAGCCAATCAGCTTCTCTCTCTCATTTTCAAATTTTACCTGAGCAAACTGAAGAGAGATGCTGATTGGTTTCCATGGGCAACTGCTCCACATTCTGTCTGCTCCAGTTTTGATAAATTCCCCCCAATGAATAAGTGTTTGGGCAAAAATGTTCAGAAGTATTTTAGGGTAGGATATGGATTCATTATTGAAAAAATGTTTGAGCGTTTAATACTACTTTGGGTGTCATGCTTCAGATCTGAACTCCTGAAATGTGACTATTCTGATGGAAACGAATCCAAAAGATAATGATCAGGGAAGCCTGATTTTATGGTGAAATGTAGCTAAGGCCTACTTCCCTCCATCCGGTTAGTTGAAGGGGCTAATCAGACGCTCTGCGGTCGTATGTGTTGGCAAGTAATATGCTGACCGGAGGAGAAAGCAGAGAGATGACCTTATCAGTCTGTTGCTGCTCCTTCACTGTCCACTCACAAGCTGGGGGCTGGCAGGTGACCAAGCTGTGTTCCTTAACTGCAGTAGAGAAAAGGCAGGTCACTAGATTGGCTGGGCTGCATGGCAGGGCTCTGTAAATGTCAGGACTGGGTGGAAAAAAACACAATTACTTTTCCAGGTACAAAGGTCCCGTATATGTATTGTAATGATGTATGTATCTGTTTGCTTGGAGTTCAGTTTTCCATTACTCACCAAACCTTTAACTTGCATGAACTATATCAGGTTCTATTTTTTTGTATTTTTTTTATTACGGACTGAATCATTCTGACTCCTCTTACCTTTAAGGCAAACTGCCCAGAAGTCTTCTCATCCGGCTGATAGGGGAGGCAAAGCAATATCAAGCCTAAAATGGCCACCACACTGACCTGGAAGGGAAAAAAATATTTACTTAAAGGGACAGTCCATTCATCCAAATAATGAAATAAAAGCAAATAAAAAAGATTTGCTTAAAGGGACAATCCACTCCTTCAAATAATGAACCATGCCTGCCATAAAACAGTGAGAATAAAGAAATAAAGAAGACCCTTTTCCTCCAGAAAATAATTTCTTTATGGCAATCATTACCTGAAATCTGACCCCACAAGTCACAATCTGTGCAATCTCTGAACAACCTCCTTTATATTAACCGACACCGATGTAGTGTGTGGGCTTACCTGGTTATATATAAATTGAATGGATTATTTAGGATAACTCCCCAACCCCCCTAATGCTGCCTATTTATTGGAAGGAGTTTCTACAGGAGGGGTAGGCAACCTTGGCACTCCAGCTGTTGTGGAACTACAAGTCCCATAATGCATTGCATGGAGACTCTGACAACCACATGCAGAGGCAGAAGCATTATGGGATTTGTAGTTTCACCACAAATAGAGTGCCGAGGTTGCCTACCCCTGTTCTACAGAGATTGTAATGTGTGTCGGTTAGCATTCCCCTTCTTTCCTCCCTGACTGCTACATAAAAGCTTATGTAAGAAGGTGAGGGGAGGAGCGGAGGAGTTGGGACAGCATGGTGAGTAATTAGACCCTCCCAGAAGAGGAGAGGGCTACCCGTATAAACAGGGAGGGGGCTGTACTAGGGAATTGATTCCTCATAGAGTAGTCCCATTTTCCCCAAGTTCAGAGGCACATTGCAAGTGAATTAAAAACATTTTTAGAAGGGAAAAATGGTGCAAATAAATACTGGAGTTTTGAAATGTAGCATTTTAAGCTGGTGACAGGGTCTCTTTAAGTCCACATGACTTCTGTTCTAATAACTTCCTGATGTTTTTAAAGTTTAAACAAAAAATATTAGTAAATCTTTAAACCAGCCGACTTGTAATCACGCCATGCAACTCCACCTATGTGACAGGTGCCCTTTAGGACAAATGTGAGCGCCGTGTTTGCAGTTCACACGCCCGGATCCTGGATATTCCTGGTTAAACTACAACCCCGTCCCATGTACCATTTTTCCGATGATAATCCGTGAACCGAGGTGAACTCTCTCGTGCTGTCTGTCTGCTGACTCCCTTGTGACAAAATCAGGAAATCGACAAAACAATCACGATATCAACAACCAAAGGCAAATAAAGAGCGAGGAAGGCAAATACATCATGTTGTTTACTCCAAGTGCCTTCGGTTATGTTGCAGCTACTTGATAACATTCACCTCCCAACGTGATAGAATCAAAATAGTTGAACAGTCTAAGCCCCGCCCAAATCCACTAAACCCCTCCTACCCTAATTCTGGCCACAGGTCTAGCACTCCGACCGTTCCATCTCCATTTCTATTAGATCGGCCAAACGGCAGCAAATAATCCCCTATTTCCGATGGAACGATGGACGAACGATCTGAAGAGATCCCGATCACAATCTGATCAATTTCTATTAATTGCTTAAAGGGGCTCCTGTTTTTGATTGATCTCTATTTGACCGCATTTGTTCTTCAAGATTGAAATTTTTTTCAAGCTGGATCAAATCTTCAAATCAACTTGATCAATTTTGGTGGTCAATCGAATCTGGTAATAGTACATTGTTCAGATATCAGGGCGATGACCCCCTATAGGAGGAACTCCAAGCTTGATGGTCACAGGACCCTATGAGGGGAATTTATTAAAACTGGTGCAGACAGAATCTGGAGTAGCTGTGAAAGGCAACCAATCAGCTTCCAGCTTTCATGTTTAAAATGTAACTGAACAAGCATAGGATAGAAGCTGTTTGGTTGCCATGCGCAGCTGCTCCATATTCTGTTTGCACCAGTTTTAGAAAATTCTTTACATTTTATCCCAAACACTTACAGTCATCATGTTTCCAAACAGCCCCAACTCTCTCAGCTCGGCTTCCCTGAACTTCCTGTCCAGTACAAGATCACGAGGGACAGCAGACTCCAGCAACCATCCATCTACTAGCCTGGAGAAGGAAAGAGGGAGGAGAGGGCTGCAGGGAGCCGGGAGTAGTTTGTTTTGCTGTTTCTGTGTATTTGTGGAGACACACACAGCTTACCAGCACACACACAAGGGTGGCACCATAGGACCCTGCAAGGGAAAGGAGCCACGCTAAAACAGGATATCAGGGCCATTGCTCAGGTGATTCTACAGGAAACTAAAACTTGTATACTTAAGGAGCAGAATCCATTGTAAGTCATTTTATCAGCATTTGAAATAGCTTAAAAACCTTTTGACTTTAAAGAAGAACTCCTGGATTTTTTTTAACCCTTGCAGAGGGGCTACTGGCTAAAAAAAAGATACACTCACCTGAAGCTCGGGGCCAGCTTCTTCTTAAATCGATCCTTCTTGTGCCTCTCCGCCTCCTCTGCAGCAGTCCAAGGTCCTGAAATCATCACATTCTATACACTTTGTATAGACGTGAGGACACAGAGTGTCATTCCAATGTGCGGAGGAGGAGGAGACTGCAGGACGCGCTGTGGCAGCTGGCTGCTCGAAGGAGAATTGGGTGACCGAACACGATCGTGGCTAAAACAGCTGCGTGTCGTGAGTCGCAAAACTGGGTACATGCACCTTTTTTCTGCGATTGCCGGGCAGATATAATTCCATTGAGATCAGAGGGGGGCGCGCGGCAATCGCTGTGTGCAATTGGATTGCCCAGAACAAAAAATAATTCCCGACTCTATCCAAAATTAAAAAAGAAAAAAGTGCACATTGATGTAAATAAAGGTGTACGGGTGTACGGTATAAAAGACGACCGGGAGTCCCAGCTGCAGCATTTTTGCACCCATAGGAATGCTTTGAATATGTTATTGACAGAATACACTGTAGGTGGGCATATCCAAGGGAACACCAGTACTTGCGTTCACACGCATGTGGGCATAAATTCCCAAACTTGAAGCTTACACGTTTCAAAATGTATGCCCTGACTTGGGTGCGTGTAAGTGCACGTACCGCCGTTTATACACATATACCCATCTGCGGTGTATTCTGTCAATACATTCCTATGGCCTACAAAAACGCAGCTACGGGGGCTCCCAGCCGCTGAAAAGACGGGCATTTTTTTATGCTGTACATCTGAATTTACGCCCATGTGCGTGAGCAGGATCTGCAGAAAAAGAGAAGATTTCACATCCTGGCAGCACTCTGCCGGCTACAGGTGACTGAAAAGATCTTTCTTCAGGCGTTCCCCTTTAAGTATGTCCCCCGCGTGTCCTAGGTGAAGCATCAAACACAATGAATAGACTAATATTAGACTTTTTAGCACTCCAAATATACTTTTCTGCGGCTGTTATTTACTGAAACATCAAAGCCTTGGCTGGCAGGTCTTGTGACAATCACACGGCCTGGAATCTGTTTCTTTCACTGTTCATTATGTTGTTGACATGAGGACTCGACAAAAGCTTGATCTATGAGAAGCGCCGTCTCCCGCACATGTCCTCGTAAAAGCAATAAATGTGACTCGCAGCCAGAAAGACATTTTGCTGTCAATAAAGAACGATTTCACTTAAAACTCCCAGTCACCACGGAACGCGCTTTCTGCCGGCGCGCGCCCTTTTCTGCCGCTGAAGTTTAATCTGCTTATATTTTGCTACTCTCGGTTCCTCCGTTCTCGCCTCATCAACATGCTAATGGAATTTTAAAATCAAACCTGTCCATTTTCATTATATTACTTTAGATCCAGTGACATCATCACCGGGTCTCTGTGCTTCTCTACGCACTTAAATGTATGCTAGGTCTACTTTGAGGACACTTGCTATTCCTTGGCCTTCTTAGCTACCCCATGCCAAATACAGCTTTCTAGAGAATAGTTCAACAAGGTGATACAATTGTCAGTGAGATCCTCATTGTTCTGAATAAACACCTGTACACGGTGTCGTCCTGTTTCTGGGTCCTCTCACTCGGCAAATATTCACAAAATAAAATCACATTGGTGGCCTGGACTCCACTGGGGATTGCTATCACCCAGTAACTTCAGAATGTTCTGATGGGATCAGCAGTCTCATTTGCATTGCATTGATTTCCACTTGCTGCATCCAAGGCAGGGACTGGTGTGAACAGTTCTAAGCCCTGGTGCCCAACAGTGGCCCAACGGCCAGATGCAGATCTTTGGTACTTATCCTGAGACCCTTGGACCTCAGCAGCCAATACGTGGAGTGAGAGTATCTAAAAGGGCTGTAGTGGCAGTGATGTCTAGCAGTCTAGTGTAACATGTTACCAGTCTCTGTCCCCTCAGCATGCTTCCAGTTTCCACCCACACTGACTTTACCCCCTGTCTGTTGTCTGTAGTATGTCCACATTATCTGACCATCTCCTGTGGTATGTCCATGGTCTCTGTCCATCCCCTGTACTACATCCATCCCCAGTCTCTGACCATCTCGTGTACTACATCCCCAGTCTCTGACCATCTCCTGTACTACATCCCCAGTCTCTGACCATCTCCTGTACTACATCCCCAGTCTCTGACCATCTCCTGTACTACATCCCCAGTCTCTGACCATCTCTTTGTCACGCCTGTACGGACTGAAGTAGCGTGGACCTCAGCTGCGGAGGCTTCTCAGGGATGGAACTCTGGTTTCACTCTCTCAGATTTAACAGAGAGTTAGAGTTCCTCGCATCACAGCCTCAGTTTAAATTATATGGCTTAAATGGATGGGATTAATTATGCAAGTAAATGGCGAAGTAGTGGCAAATGATAATGAAGGATATAAATGCAGGAGTCCAATGATATCTCCCCAAACTGGTGGAAGTACAGAACCCCAATGTAACTTAAGCCAATGCAGATAACTTGTAACAGTCCAACTGAGAATGAGTGCAAAAGCACTGAGAGTACTTGCGATTTAGTGGAGGTGTCACAATGGAAGCAGTAGAGGTTCCTGGGTGGTATCCGGATCTGGGGTATGCTGGAGGGCACAATCTGGAGGCTTGTGGAGGGTCCCAGGAGACAGCA